TATATAACATTACTGCAAGATGATTTAGAGTTTATCTCTATATCATATAAAGATTTATATATACATACATAATGATATTTATGTAAATATAATAGAACTTTAACGTTCAAAATATATATATCCCTATAGCATTACTAATAGACAGTTTAGAGTTTATCTCTATATCGTATCATTATACATATCATATTTTTATATTTGAGCACTGTTTTTATCACTTATTAATTGGTTTATTATATTTTTTTATTCAATATATATATATATTCTTTTATTCTGCTAGATAAAATAACATGTAAGTGTTTTTGTTTTTTTTTAACCCAAATAATTAAATAAAGATAGGAACAATTTATAAAAAGATAAATTAAATATTTGAATTTCAAAGTATGCCTACACTACCTTTTCACTCTCAAGAAGTTGTAAACGAAGACCAGTTCTTATATTCTCAGTCAGTTTAAACAATTCCGTATTTTCAGGTCCAATTTCTATAAATCCTCTTCTTTTCCATTGCTGAATGAGACTCCTGAAACGCTGGCCCAAAGTTACCTTTCTGTTTTGATCCATTGCCATAGCAACAAATAAATAATTATCAGTTTATATACAATCTGCAAGAAAAAATACTTTGATAGGTTTTTCTAAACATGTCCTGTCAATTATATATTATTACAATTAATGAATATCTAATGTTATAATTACTTTACCTTTTCTTAAATAGTTGATTCAATAAATAGTCCTCATCATGAGCTGTAATATTAAATTTTAGCCCAGATGATCCCAAAGGATTTTTATTGAGTTTTGATATTTTTATCAATGCACTGAAGTAAAATTAAATATATTCTATTTCTGTAATATAATATATTACTTAGCTCAGTTTATGTGTATAGGTCTGTTGTCCTCCAGCCCCTTGACATTCCCTTGCAGGACTTTCTGTATATTGTAATTTATTGATTTGCTAAGAAAACTCCGTTAAGATTACATACTTAGGTATGAACTATACAATGTCAACACTCTGACAGAACCTTGTTTAAACAATTCACCTACTAACAATGGACTTTATTCTCAGTCATTACGTGCTTCAAAATGAAACCCACTACAATAAAATGTCTAATGAAGCAACACCACATTGAATCTTATCTTAGGTTGAAACTTCATGAATACACCTCATAAACTGCATATCATAAAGGCAAATATCCAATTCAGAGAAATTATAAAATAGGGGAAATGGGTGGGCCTAATTTTAAATATTTCAGCTCTAAATTTCAGTAAATAATCTGTATAACATAATACGTTAACAACATCCCATGGTGCAGGATATTACTGTATTTTTAACCAGACATGGGAAGTAATCGAAATGAAAACAAGTTTAAAATATTCTCGACAACTAAAATGTTTTTTTTTCTGACAGTTTTCTCTGACAAAAAAGTTAAATATTCCTTGGCAATTTTAATTGAAATGCACAATGTGTATTTCCTCAACAATGAGTAGACAATCCAATCCAATATATATGTTGTAAGGAAGAATAATAATGATTTAACACTGACCAAAATAATAACCAATATTGCATGATGACCAAATCTTAAAATCCTCTCGGTATTTAAAAAATTTAGGTTGACCTCTTGCCAAGATTTTTTTAAGAGTGTCGGAATTTCAGAAAATGTTGTCCAAAATCTTGAAAGGGTGGTGCACAAAATTTTAAAAGGTGGATACATTTTTGGTAGGTGTCGGATACTACGCGGTATGACTCGTATCCCACAATTTAGATTTCATTATTAGTTAGACTATCTACCTATAAAATCGATTAAACAATCCTCCGGGACCACTTTCGAGACATTTTGAATGACGCCCAACCACGCCCACCACTGGCCACCCCAGCATATTTCCCCAATGAAATTTTACCTTGCCCCTCAATACCCCCCTCCTACCCAGATTTCAAAAGCTGGCATTGTCACTGGTTGAGGGCCCTCCCCTGGAAAAATTTTGATTTCTAGATGGCAGGAAATAAACTTTCGCGACTTCTAATTTTCCCATTGCAACAAAAAAGGTAGGTCAGGAATTTTTTTACTTTTTGCCCAAGGGGAGGGGGATTTAGGGCACCCTATGGGGTGGCATTCCTTCCTCATTATCTCGCTTATCTCAAATCAAATTTAAACTACCAAATTTTGTAGAAATGGTGTAACCCAGCCACCATGAATCCCCTTTAAGATCTACGAATTTGAAATGGTTATTCATTTTTTTAGTCGCAACACAGCATTTAAAAATTACATTGCCTAAATTATATTATTCCTGACGAATTGGTGTTGAGCTCCTGAGATGGCCAGCTTCTACACTCCCCCGCCTCCCCAACAACTTTCCTAATGGTCTTAGCATGGATTTCTCCAGGGCTTAAGCATGGCAAGTAACGGTGACATCGTCTGCTGGGAGAACCTGTCACTTACTTCCCTGCTAGTGATAAACCTACTTAATTAAAACACCAAATGAGTGTCAAACATATTTTAATCCACCCACGTTCAACATAATAATAATTAATACTTACGGCATGGTAGTAGCCTGATACATTTTACTGTATTGAGAAGGGGAGACTATCTCACGCTGCAGCTTACACTCTCCACCTTTAGTGTAGCAGGGAGTCGTTATAGTGATTTTATGTTATTTGATTAAGTTGATTGATTGATATCGGAGAGACAGTCTGATGTGATTTTATATGAGGGCGCTGTTCAGTTATTTCTAGTCTTCTTTAAAGCCCTGAACGCTGTTTCGTTATCCATATACAGTACCACGTATATTTTGTTTTACCGTCGTCGGAAATGTAAACCTATCAAATGGTTTAGTATAATACCATAATATTTTGCTTGACGCCGTTTCTATTGTTTAATCGCCGTAAATTGTTCATTTTTTTGAAAATGGAGATATAAGGAAAATTAAAGTCTGAGAGTGTAATTCCCGCCATAATCACAAATTTTCTTACCTCAGCCCCAACCATGGTGGGGCTGAGGTAAGAAATTCTATCTGTGAAGGTACGGTACCCTCCCTGGGCCCTTCTATTTCGAATTCCTGGATCCGCCACTGGAAATTACAACAAATATGAAGTCATATTACAGTAGCTTGATGCCTATGAAATAACTTTACCAAACTTCGTAAAATGTCCGTAGCTTAGGGGATTTCCCTTGGACCCCAACCGGGGCACAGTGGGCCAGACTGAAGTCAAAGTGTGCCAAAATTAATTACTCATTACAGAAGCAAATCTAAGCGAATACAAGACTTATCTAGAGGTTTCCATACCCGTAGAATTCAATAAAAACATTTTCAAATCTATATGACTTCATTTTTGTAATGTTTTCTGATTGGACGATGTCAGTTTTCATTGTAATACCAAAACAAGTTCATATTGCAATGATTTTTTAAATGTTAAGGAGGTTTGGGACAAAAGAACTTCTGTGGGAAACCTTTTGTATTTTCTATGACGTCATCAAAATACATTTTTCTGATTGGACGGGGCCAAAAGTGTTTTAGGCATAAAATTTCTATTATTAATCTTACAGTGAATATATATGGGGTTTTTTTTAATAAATCGAAATAGAAATCGAAATCAAAATTCATAATAATTCCAGACAACCTAATTGTACATTTTTTTAATGTAAAATATGTTTGCATCTGAGATTCCATGGAAGTTTATCAGACATATAGGCCTACACCAATGTCATGATATATTAATTCCGTCCCATATTAGGCCTATATTGTAAAAGTATGGATAATGGTCGTTTTATGTTTTTTTGATAATGCTCAGTTTGAACGAGGAGGCTTTGATGATGAACCTTTGCTGTCCTCTTTGACAGGTATACTGTACCACCAGAATAGCAATGCTTTTTTGCTACTCTTATTTTGGTGTAAGGAGGAGTCTCAGTTAAGTATGGAGCTACAAAGATGGACAATATTTCATCTGTCGTGAACGATTCCGGTTTGCGCCTCAGGGGTGACGCCAGCAGGGGAAGGGGGAGGGGCAGGGTCCCGTCGACGAGAGGTCCCCGTCGAGGAGAGCTCCCCCCCCCCCGGCGTTGAGAAGATAAACTACCGTTCGTCAGGGAGAAATACTAATGTGTATGTATTTTCTACATATTAGTGGACTCTAAAATCGATTCTTCTTGAACGCCGCTTGCAATGCTCCATAAAGGAGTTCAGTGCGTACATTTTGTCAAATCTCGTGTAGGCCTACTTTACCCTTGTGCGAATCTCTCTGGAAAGATCCTCCCATACTCCGATAGGACGTCCCGGTTTGGGTTGTTTTTGTGGGTTTTCTGCTGGTGTGGAAAGAATATCTCTGTTCTGTGTCAAAGCATTTATAACTTCATCAGAAAATGGAATCCTGTTGCCACGAGTTATTTTCTTTAGAAACCCGGCGAACACGTGTTTACGTTCTTATAACGTTCTTGGCCAATGTTGTGGTTCGGTATGTCACAAAATAACGTTTAAACAACGTTCATTACGTATTTATAGTTCTACAAAATAAAGTTTTCAACACAAAATTGTAACGTTTATTATTAGGCTGCTCAAAATTTAATAAAGTATTCTAAACAGCAACAAAATATTAGAAGATATGTTACTGTTTGTCAATTTTTCAGAGTGCTAGTTTTCCCACGCTTTGCATGAACTGGTTGAGTAGACGCGCGTACATCCCTCTGATTTGCGGTTTGCTCTAATAAAATTGTGTCTCAAATGTATGAAAACAAGACTGATAAAAGTGCGTCTAGCTCGCGAAGTTGCAAAAAGTAGCAGCTAAATTTTGTACCATCATAAAGTTAAGGTATACTGAAGATGGTGATGTAAAAATTAAAGCATGAATCCACATGAATCTAAACTTTCTCTCCTACTTTTCTAAAAATAGATTTTTAAACATTTTTTCTGTCGTTTAAACAACGATTTATTATTGATGCAAAATTCAAGTTTAAACCAAAACATATATTTGTGTTCCCCAATTTATATACAAGAAACGTGTACATTTTAAAGTAATTCCGAATTTTCTGTAAGAATAAAAACGTGTTTTGACATAATGTAGTGAATTATAGCATTTTAAATATTTATAGAGAAATTTCCGACTTGTTGAAAAATACCACCCTTAAAATTCGTTTAAATGTAAAATATTTTCAGGATTGATTCATCAGGGTATACCCATCTTCAATCATGTTTAAAAAGTAGTGTAATAGCCATAGTCACTAAATATGGACTTTTGGCACACTTTGATTAGCCCTGGTCCACTGTGCGGGGCCCTTGGCGACCCCCTGTCCCCCAGCCTAGTGCTCGCTTCGCTCGCGTACTGGACTTTATGAAATGGCCCCCAGCCCATTTTCAAAAATGTTCCGCCACCGTTGGCTCTGAATATAAACCATTTGTAACACCGTGGTAGAATTTTGACTGATTTATTTATTGGTTGGCATACGCCTAACCTTGTATTTTATTGGTCAATAGTGTCCTATTAAATAATGCTTTGATGTAATAGGTTAAGATACTAAGATCTGATGTTTTCGGAGACCAATTTTGAATTCAGGATGCTTGAATACAGCTTGAAAACAGACAAAGTTGTCTCAGGAACAAAACGAATGTAAACATCATTGGAAATACGTGTTACGATATTTGAACGCAGTAGAAACTGATAAATTATCAATATTTTGTTATATTTATTTTTGTATTCCACTTTGCTTTCAGTATTTTGTTAATTTTGTTTTATTTTATTATAATTTACCCATTTTATTTATAATATTGTATTTATGTTAAACTGGAGGAGTGTGGGTCATAGACTTTGTGTTACCTTTTGTATTCCCCTGCTGACTCATTCAATTTATTGTACTTGTATTCTGTATGTATTCCACCATTGTATTGTACTTTGATTTTTGGAGGGTTTTTTTTTGCGAATAAAGAATAAAAATAAGAAAACTTTTCATTGTTAATGTTTACTGTTTTCACGTATAGACGTCTGTATACTGGAATAAATCATGTAGACATAGGCCGACGCACGTTTTTGCTTTATAGCCGATTTAATCATTTATCAACAATATTCTTCAGATTTTTTCTGAATACTCTAATCTTCTTCAGTGTAGGCCTAAGCAAAATGATGTAGTGCCTTTTTATATTTATTGGGCCCCGGAACAATCAGCCTTGACTTAATTAATTCAAATGCATTTTCAAACGTTCAAGTATATGTGACCCACTTGGGTATAATGTATTGTTGTCACTACTTTATTATACATTTCAATAGGCTAATCTCGAATTAATAAACACTCGATGTATGACATGACAAATCACACAATACGTATGCTCACATTTATCACGATCCTGGTAATACCGTTACTGATTGATTATTAAGGCCCTTTAATTACATCTCAATTTATTTAATGTAGACAAATCACGAGCAGTTTATCTAGGTACGTACTTATTTTGGTATTTGGTTCAGCAGGCTAATAGAAGGAAAAGGTTGAAATTCCCTTCCCTGCCCCCCCCCCCCGCTGCCG